TCTACATGTCCACTACATTTACGTCAAATTGATAAATGGATTGAGTTGACATGATCAATTGATATAAATACATATTAGAACATACCTTGAAGTATGGCATGAATCGCAGGTCATGTCTGATTTCTGATGGTATGCGATTTCCAGTTGGTTGTACAACCAATAAGGGATACAGTTTAATCACACTACGGAGGACTTTGTGAAAATACTGGCTAACGGTCTCTTGTGATCGACCAAACCTAGCATGGATTGTACTATTCCGCACATTGTGCCCGATAGTGTGAAGTAACATTGCAACTTGCTCCTCCACATTCAAATAGGGGTTTGGTGTGAGGTTCCCATGCATTCTAAGTAAATCACATAGAGAATCAAAACATCTTCTTCTCATCCTAATCTATGAGAGGCATGTCTTGACACTGTTAAAAATGACCTTCAAAAATTTCCCTTTTCCTATGCTCCTCACTTCCCTTGTTCCTAGACGCTCACAAAGTGTGTAGTACCCAACCATTATTAGGGTAATGATAACACTGAAGATTGCAGAAAAGGCCCTGATAACTTGCCTACGTCCTTCAATGTATGGTGGTACCCTCATGTTTGTAGGTCATAGAATAACAAATAAGCACGTGAACAATGTAAACCTAGGTACTTTTTGGCATGTTGAAATGGGTTGCTAGGAATTTGGCTTATTTAACTCGGGCTAAGAATTTTAGTGAATTTGGCATGTTTGACTTGGGTTGAAGATAATTGAAACATATTTAAAAAACCAAATTGAATACCAAAACTTCTCATCTAGTTTACCAATCAAAATAAATAAAGTAAACAAAAAACAAAAACAAATACTCCTCATCCAGTTCTGATTTTTTCTCCCTTATTCTTGTTCTTATTTTAATGGTGTGTGTGTGGAAAGAAATGTTTTTAGTAGCATAGACACATTTGACAATGGCCAATAAAGAAGCTGATATGCAAATCAGTTGCAGGTACAAGGGAATATAATTGCCATTTTTTGAAGTTTGGTCATGTTAAAAAAAAATGCAAAAAAAAAAAAACATAAAAAACAAAAAGAAAATCTCCCTCAACAAACACCTTTTCAATGATGCATTCTGAATACCAAATTTATTGCTTGTGTTATGTTGTGCCTCAAAATCTAGGTACCTCTAGAGCCATCATTTATCTAATCAGAGCATTTGAACAAGTACCCTCTCTCTCCAACACACTTAAAACCTAAAGGAATACATCAAATTAATGCAATGGATGTAATACCACCTTCTATTCTGCCCTGGTTGAATCACCTAGCCCTGTGGGACCAGGGTAAATGGCTAAAATATTTCCTTCACCATTTTTGAACACTTCCCCAACCCCAAGAATTTGACAGTTTGGCAATATGATAATCCAATCCAAGAATTTTAAATAGTGTTTCTTTATTTTTTCTTGATTTTTTTTGGTGTTTTTGCTCCCTATGGTCTATTTCCCTATGTTTTTATTTTCTTTTCCCCTTTTGCCTAGTTCACATTGCCTTTTACCCTAAATTCCAAATATATCAAGTTCTGTAGAGTTCACATTGCATTTTTGAAACTTACTATGTATAACCAAAATGCTTATAATCTAAAAATTAACCTAAATGGGAAAACATGGGATTGATCCATGATAACTAATGATGTTTTCTACTCCCTGAGACCCTTCCTTTGTTTCTAGCAATTATTCTCTGCAATGTACCACCCTCGAAAACAACAAAATGCTAAAAAAGGCCAATCCTCTATTCACCTATCTCTAGCTAGATTTAAAAAAGAACAGTTCACACTGTTAAGTTAAGCCTCTTACTTGGAATGATAAAGAACTAGTTTTTTGGTTGACTCTATATGAGATGATCTGATGTTAACAAGGCCAAAGCAAAGTGTGAATATTTGTTGTGAAAATATAAATATTTGTTGTGCACAACAAATTTAATTATAAATAAAAGATACATAAAGAATGCAAATATAAATGTTCTTAATTGGCAAGGTCATGTAACTATAGTACATTTCAAATATTTGTTATGCAAAAAGAAAACGTCATGTAACAGCTAAGCCTTTCCACACTGTTATCTTTATTTAAAGAAACAAATGCAATGATTATCTACAATTTTCTGTTCAAATAAATATAGAAAATATATTTGTTAAGAACTTTAAGAATACCTGCATCTCAAGGCTATTAAGTCTCTATAATAGTGTGAATCATAAGACAAGTAATGGGATCTCATGAAAGCAAAAACTTTACAATGCAAATAGGAATCTAAACTCGCAGACATCATCTAATACTAATAGAGTGGTGATTCCAAAAACGACCAATCCTTTAAAGTTTTCAATCTTTGGATTTTAATAGAAAAGGTTGTCTTATAGAAACGTAAAACTAGAATCCACACCCAAGGCTAAACTCCAGGGACACTAGAGATTAGAGGTCTAAGTGCTGGATTCAAACTTCAACGTTCTAATTTCTGAATCAAGTCTAGCTTTTGAATATACTAGGTGAATGGTAGATAAAATTGAATATACCAACTTTTGAATACACTAGAGCCTGGGGTTTGAATGTTGAATAGAATTTAAGTTGTAGAAAGACAAAGAATGCGAGCCAAATCTTAGATCTAAGAACTAGAATAAAAAAAAACAAGGTACAAATCTACGAACTACAAACAAATGGCAGACCATAAACATGATAATAAATCATAGATCTAAGAAAACCCAAATAGAAAAACAAATTTTAGATTTGTTTTGGATTGTCTCCAGATCTGAAACGAGTTGACTCAGATCTTAATGACAATGTTTAGATCTAGTACCTTCTGTATGTTGTGAGATGGGGATGATGAAATGCCTGAGTCTGTGTTTTGAGATGAGTGAGTTCGAACCTGTGAGAAAAAGAGAATACACAATGAGAAAAGAAGAGAAAAAGAGCGAAAGACAAAGAGAGGGATTGGAAGAGAAAGTGGTGACCAGGAGAATCTCAACGATGGTGGAGGGTGCTAATCGGCAGTGCTCGACGGTGAGAGAGAGAGAGGATTAGAGGAGACGAAGAGTAGTTGTATTTTTGCACCGTGATTGCTTCGATCGAGTTTTACATCGAAAAAATCGATGTATAAAATACATCAATAATCAAAGTAAATAAATTTTGAAATTGGTTTTTACACTAATCTTCGAAGTATTTTTACATCTCATCCAAACGGCCACAAAACTGGACCGAAGTGTAAAAATACACCGAACCGGGTTTTACACTGCATCCAAACACAGCCTAAGGCTTTTGATGTATTAGTAAAACATAAAACATTTTGCTACTACTTTCATAGCATTAGAGCTCACATTTTTTATTTTTCTTATTTTTATTAATTATTCACCTCCCATGTTAAAAGATTTGTAGGGGTGATGTTGTTGCTTGTTTAGGTTTTAGGTTTGTAAATGCTGCTATTTTTTCCATTATATAAATCATTAATTTTTGGGGTTTTTATAGTTCAGTCCACTCCTAGGGTGAAGCTAGGATTTCTAAGGGTGGACTGAATCCTGCTCGTGGATTGATGCCAAATTTGCGAACATGATGCGGTATACAAGGGGGGCTATTAATAAAGTAGTAGGGGGCTACAATTGTGGACTACAGATTTGCAGTCCACTTATCCCTAATTTTTTTCTCGGATAGATCCAATGCAGATTTTTGATTTCTACTATAGAACTATAAACATTCAAAATGTCTAAAATTCACACTCTATGCACCTATATCCACCAATGACTTGGCATTAATTCGGATCTGACACCTATCCCAAATGTACTTTAAACCTATAAATTCTGACTTGGGCTGAACCATCATTCTCCATTTTTTTTCTTCAAATGACCATTCGATCTATAAATCGTTAAATCATTCGGAAGTCTCTTTACATCCATCAAAAACAAGTCATGTTCTTTTTTTAATGAAAGCAAGTAAGATGGGGATCATTCAATCTGTCACTCATTCAAAAATATTTTGAAATCTATTAAAAACATTCCAATTAATAACCCAACTATTTCTATTCTTCTAGAGTAACAATACAAATACAAACATTATATTTGCACTATATTTGTAATCTTCCCAAATACAAATACAAATATATGTTGTAGAACCTGTACATATTTGTATTTGTATGAGACTTTATCACATTGTTTTGTCTACACTAAGCTCGAATTGAGTCAAGCCACTCATATTGTTTAGATTCGGAAGTTAGCTTTTTTGCATTTCAGCAGGGTCTATAAATGATTATCATGATTCAGTGCGAGCCTCATATAAAACTCAGGCATCCCTAACCGTCAGATCTCTCTAAGAGAAAATCACGTCAACACAACGTTGTGGACGGAGTTATCCAGATTCTAAATGTACGGTTTCAGAAGGGAGCTCACTGGAAGCATCTCCCACTCAATCAATTTCCTCATGTAACCGGCCAAACCGTGAGATCACATCAAATCCAAACATCCTTTACGATGCTGTCGTCTGCAACACCAGCATGAGACGACTTGTTGGTCGATGTCACAAGACCCTTCATTCAGAGGGCCCCACAAGCGAGATCTCTAAGATCTAAATCCTCATCAGCAGATCTCATTCCCTTTGAACAATCGCAAAAAAAAAAAAAAAAAAAAAAAAAAAAAAAAGAAAAAAGAAAAAGAAAGTCTACCTATCGGACGGCTGCGATTCCTTGACAGATAAAGATATCCGTTTGTGGGTCCAAAGCCCATCGTCAGTTCGTTACCATGAACTGGCCTGCCAATCTGAGCTGCAATTTCAATGCATTCCTCGTTCCAAGGGTACTTTTGTAAAATCAAGACCAATTTCACGAAAAGTGAAGTATCATAACGTTACCTTTCATCAATTGACAATTTCTGTAAAGCACCGATACGACTCGAAAGGCCGAAACTCCATTCAAACACGATTCCGATATACCCAGTAAAAAACTCAAAATATATTATTTATCAAAATCAGAAAAAAAATAAAATTGTGGTGCACTTTTAATTTTAATTTTTTCATTTACTCAGGCGATTCGGCGATTCCATGTTTTCTCATCTTTGACTAGTACTTCCACGGACGCGACCGCGGAGTTAAATCCCATTCTCCTTGCTTCCCTTCAGAGATTTTCTCCTCTTGCCCTTTCCCTCCGTTTACTGCGCCCGGTTTTCCGACGACGGGAACTCCGGTTTTCGCCGGAAATCCTGTCCGAAAACCGATATTCTCTCCCCCGCGAAATTGTTCTTGCTTGTCGAGATATCGCTTCTCTTCAGTCTTTTCTAGCGGCGTCAACTTCAAAGACACTTCATCTCCAGTCCAAAACGGTTTCAGATTTCAACTATTACAACTCAGAACAGCTCTCATTTCTCAGCATCAAAAGGACTAAATGAATCACAAATAAAAGGAGAACTGTTCCAAGACTTCATATTCGATGGAGCTTTTAGGGTTTGGGTTCACTGGATTTTGGTTTCAGATTACAGGAGACTTGCAGATCCGCAAAGCTTCGTTTTTCTGAGGCTTATGACTGCTTGACTTGTTCTTATTCGACTGTTTTCATCGTTTTGGGGGGAGACGTGAGGAGTTTCTTTTTCTTTTTCTTTTTTATCTGGAGTTGAACATTGATGGTAGTTCACGGTCAAGTCTGTCATCTATGATGACTGAAACTCTTGAACGATCGATGCGGGTGGTGGTTTGGAGAGTCTCTCACATGGAATGGCAGATCTTGTTAGCTACGGAAATGCGGAACGAGACGTCGAGCAGGTGAGTCTCGTGGAAAGTTCCGTTCTTTTGTTGCAGAGATTGGATTTTTTTACTATTTATTGTTTCTTGATTTCTGGTTCTCTCCTTCAATACCAATCTAGACAGAATGATTGCAGTAGTGGATTTTGGGTCGTGAAGTAGATGATGTAGAAGTACTTGAACGAAGTAATTATAATGATGAAATGAAGACTATGGATTACCATTTGAGCTTGATGGGGAGGGTGTTTTGATCATAACATTAAGATATAAATGTGGGTTACTGAGGTTATGTTCTTTTGTTGAAAAAGTTCCTTAGACATGTAGAACTATTTTTATGGCTGTAATGAAACGTTAAAAACCTCCTTGTCCATTTTAATTAGCATGTCTGCGGGTTCTATGGAAAAAGAGGGAGATGACCCGGGAGATTGGGCATGGAGAGTAGCTGAGGAAAAAGAATCCAAATGGATTACTGTGGTACATGCGGTAATTTAGGCTATAAGAAGTGGAGAGAAGATAAGGAATCTGTGAGAAAGAATGTATGATATGAACCACTTGTAGCAAGGACGAGTCAGAAGTGGGTTGGTTAACAAGTTAAAGGCGTCTATCAGTCTCAGACAACTAAAGTCACAACTGAAACAGAATTTCAATGGACAGTTTTCATAATGTGATTTATCAAAATGAGTTTGACCTTCTTATTACATTCTATATTTTCTTGATCTTTCCTACTGGATGCTAGATTCATCTGTACTTGCTAGGAGAATGTCATGATTTTGTTTGCATTTCGATTTATAAGACCATTGAATTTTATGCTTTTTCTTGAAATTGAAATCTAGGAGTTCTCTCCCAATATATAGTGTCTCTTACATTCATTTACATTATGCCTAAATGCATTCAGAGTTTGAAGATCATATACTGAATTTAATTGTCATTCTGTTAGCCTCTAAGTTCCTTAAATAGTGTTGGGAACACAAGGACAATAAAACCAGTGCTGGAAATGTTGCCAGGCAGGTCAGAGTATCTGTATGATCCTGTGGGTGTGTTTAAAGATTTGGAAGAAGATACTGAGATGCAGAGTAGATTATGGACTGTACAGAATTTTGGAAGTGATAGCAAATATGACATATGATAGTCTGTTGGTTGTGCTTGATATGAGATACTACCAAAGATTAAGGAAAAAACCTCCTGCTAGCTAGTTCATTTTTGTTGCAAATGAATCGAGAGAAGAGTAGAGGAACACCTGGGAAGCTTTGTGCTGGAGGCTTTAGGTCTTGAGCAATTATCGCATCCCCATAAGAATGGTTATATTTTATGGATGAATTGCTACATTCCTCACCCCTGAGAACTTCTCTTTTTCTTTTGTTTGTTTTGTTTACTTGCATCCATTATTATTATTGTCCTTCTCAAGATGCAAACCTTTATGGCCTTCACATGAGAAAGTCAGGTCACTCTCACTACCATGGAGCATGACTGTTTTGGGGCAACAAGTTTCCTCAATGTTGTTAATATGGAGTTTCAATTATTAGGAGGTTGGTGCTGATAAAAAAAGGGAGTTTGACATCTAACTTCATTTTGATAGTCATGAATGGTGGATCCATATTTCTTTGATCATTTTTGGTTATGTATTTACATCCAATTCCCATCCATGCTTTCTTTTTCTTTTTCTGCATTTCCTAATAAATATGTAATCTGTTTAATCTTCTGATGGAGGTATGTCCAACGTAATATTTTTAATAAGCAATGTATCTTTATTATAATAATAAGGGAGTAATGTAGAGTATACTGTTTCATGTATGTGCTCTTCATGGAGGCATTTCAACCTGATGTACTTTGTTAATTTCTGTGCTGATGCAATGTTCCATGGCAGCATTAAATATTTTATGCCGAAAATCATTGATCAAACAAATATTTAATGCAAAAAGTTATGTTTCAACTCAACTATGCCTTCTTTCTCCTACTATTTGCTGAAAATTCTGTTTCAAGGTCTCAATTATCTTTTCTACCTTCTACAGGCATTAACTGCTTTGAAGAAAGGTGCTCAACTTCTAAAGTATGGTCGTAAAGGAAAGCCAAAGTTTTGCCCATTTAGACTTTCAAATGTAAGTTTATTACCCCAATCAGTTTTTCTTCAGATTTGTTTTGATGGATTATATTGCATATTTACTTTTTGTCTTTCTTTTTCTATCTTGTTGAATGTTATAATGGATGGTGTGCTTAGGTCCTATCTGGAGGTTGAAACTTTGTGGATGAATCTTTTACAGGACTCATTTTTTATGTTAAATTCAAGGGCTTGACATGATTATTGATCTTAGGGTCTGATTTTAGATTTTTTATTATATTATACAAAATCTTAGGACTTAAAATAATATTTTAGGGATTCTGGATCCTGTGGATCCTTGTTTTTGAGATGGAATATAAGTTTGTTTTAAACATTTACTACAGTTTCTATTGTGTTTAAGATGCAGTTAGGCATAACTCTTTTATTGGTTCTACTTCTACATAGAGTGTATCCTGTGCTAAATTTTGAAGTGATTTAATGAGCTCCACTTCTGCATCTGATAAAATATCATGTATGCTCATAAAATTGGCACTTGTGATATGATGGATAGGTTGCACACCAGTTGGTTCATAGTTAGTTGTTAGCTTAGGAGGCCAAGTCCAAGAGTTCTGAATGTTGTATTGAATCTATAGATGGGCTTATATACAGGGGCCTCTCAGTGTATGCCATTTAGAATCTCAAGTTCTCTGCCATGATAACCATTCATAACTGTGATTTCTTATTGGTAGGTAGTATTCTAATTTGAAAAGATATGGAGTAAAGGAAAAATAGGATAGCTTAGAAGAGGATTTGTTATTTTTATTGAACATGTAACATATTCAAGTATCCTTTTCAATAGCATTTTCAGTTTCATATTCATTATTGTTCCAATCCATGATTTCATGAAGTGTACCTTTGTATTCTCCTTATCTAGAAAGCTTGACTTTATATTTGTTACTGCTCTTGTATCTGAAATTCACAGGATGAATCATCTTTGATCTGGTTTTCAAGTGGTGGAGAAAGGAAATTAAAGTTAGCTTCTGTTTCAAAAGTTGTTCCTGGACAAAGAACTGTGAGATATTCTTTGTACTTATTCAATCTATACCATGCTGATTAAAAGAAAAAAAAACATCTAGCACTAAATTCTTGGAACTAAATTTTTCATTGTTGGTATGTGGTAGTCTGTTTTCAAACGGTATTTGTGCCCTGAGAAGGAATACCTGTCTTTTTCTCTTATATACGACAATGGAAAGCGATCCCTTGATCTGGTTAGTGTAATTATCTGAATTCCTATTTGTGAATATGTGATTGTTTTTTTTTTTTTGAGATTTCTTAAACTAATTGTCATAAATCAAGGATCTCATTATACATTGTTGGTTTTCAGATTTGCAAGGACAAAGTTGAGGCTGAGGTGTGGATTGCAGGCCTCAAGGCACTGGTTTCTTCCAGTCAATGTGGACGTTCAAAAATTGATGGATGGAGTGATGGAGGACTTTCTTTTGATGTAACTATACATATTGGAACCTCTTGTGGTCTTTAACTTTTAAAATTATTCTGTTCTTTTCTCTGCATTACCTCTTGCAGACATTGTAATATTTCTCCAACCATTCTCCATCTCAATTTGATAAAAGATAAAAACATTTAGATGCTGATTTTCATGCCTTAGCCTTTCAAATCTTAGCATTTTTGGGTCTGGTTGGGTTAAGAATTAATTAATTCAGTCATCTTATCTACCTTCACAAAAAAAGAAGTTATTAAATTTTGATTGGGCCCAAGCCAAATATAGTTCAGATTCTTCAAATTGGAAGACCTGAATATTATCCTGGAAGTGAGTTGTGAATATTAAGGTTTTTGTTAGGAATTGTATCAATACAGTTTAGTGTGACACAGTACTGTTGTTTTGTTTATCATATATTTCTTTAGATAGCATGTTGCTGTCATCTTTTTCAGCTGTGAGTCATTCATGATCCATGGTTTTGTGCTTGCTTTGTTTCAGGATGGTAGAGATCTGACATCCAATAGCCCCAGTGACAGTTCAGTCAGTGCCACACAAGATATTAGCTCTCCGGAGACATCCGTTGGTTCCAACAGTACTTTCCCTAAAAGTTGTCCTGAGAGTTCAGTGCATTCTGACAGATCACATGTAGCATTGGATCACACAAATATGCAAGTAAAGGGATCTGCTTCAGAGGTTTTTCGAGTTAGTGTTTCAAGTGCTCCAAGTACATCTAGCCATGGTTCTGCTCAGGATGATTGCGATGCTTTAGGCGATGTATACATATGTGGTGAGGTTATATGTGATAATTTTGTCAAGGCTGGGGCTGATAAAACTGTAAATCCTTTCAGCACGAGGGCTGATGTGCTTCTCCCTAGACCATTAGAGTCCAATATAGTTTTGGATGTTCATCATATAGCTTGTGGTGTTAGACATGCTGCACTAGTCACAAGGCAAGGAGAGGTTTTTACATGGGGTGAAGAGTCTGGTGGACGACTTGGCCATGGAATCGGGAAAGATGTTGTTCAGCCTCATCTGGTTGAATCACTAGCAGTCTCCTATGTTGATTTTGTTGCCTGTGGAGAGTTCCATACTTGTGCTGTTACCCTGGCTGGTGAACTTTATACATGGGGAGATGGCACACATAATGCTGGGTTGCTTGGTCATGGTACTGATGTCAGCCACTGGATACCCAAGAGAGTTTCTGGTCCATTGGAGGGACTTCAGGTTGCTTCACTTACATGTGGTCCATGGCACACAGCCTTGATAACATCTACAGGGCAGCTATTCACCTTTGGTGATGGAACATTTGGTGTTTTGGGCCATGGTAACAGGGAAAGTGTTGCATATCCAAGAGAAGTGGATTCTCTTGCAGGATTGAGGACAATTGCTGTTGCCTGTGGTGTGTGGCATACTGCTGCTGTGGTGGAGGTTATTGTGACACAGTCTAGTGCAAGTATTTCATCAGGGAAATTATTTACTTGGGGCGATGGGGACAAGAATCGCCTTGGTCATGGAGACAAAGAATCTCGGTTAAAACCCACATGTGTGCCTTCTCTCATTGAATATAATTTTCACAAGGTTGCTTGTGGGCACAGTTTAACTGTTGGCTTGACAACATCAGGGCATGTTTTTACCATGGGAAGTTCAGTTTATGGCCAGCTTGGCAATCCCCATTCTGATGGGAAGCTGCCTTGCTTGGTGGAAGATAAGCTTGCAGGGGACTGTGTTGAAGAAGTTGCTTGTGGTGCATATCATGTGGCAGTGCTAACATCACGGAATGAGGTTTACACATGGGGAAAGGGAGCCAATGGAAGACTGGGCCATGGAGATATTGAGGATCGGAAAACACCAACATTGGTAGAAGCTTTAAAGGATAGACATGTTAAATATATTGCTTGTGGTTCAAACTACACAGCAGCTATATGCCTCCATAAATGGGTAGCAGGGGCAGAGCAGTCTCAGTGCTCAGCTTGTAGACAGGCATTTGGGTTTACTCGAAAGAAGCACAATTGCTATAACTGTGGACTGGTACACTGCCACTCCTGTAGCTCTAGAAAAGCTTTAGGAGCAGCCCTAGCTCCAAATTCTGGTAAGCCATATCGTGTGTGTGATTCTTGTTATGCCAAACTGAACAAGGTGTCAGAACCAGGAGGTACTAATAACAAAAGGAATGCCATACCCAGACTTTCGGGTGAAAATAAAGACAAGTTAGACAAAGCTGAGATTAGACTATCCAAGTCTGCAATGCCTACCAATATGGATTTGATTAAACAGCTAGATAGCAAAGCATTCAAACATGGAAAGAAGGTTGACACTTTCTCTCTTGTTCGTTCTTCCCAAGCACCCACTTTGTTGCAGCTAAAGGATCTTGCTTTGTTTACTAGCACTGACCTGCGCCGCACAGCTCCAAAACCAGTACTCACATCAGTAGGTCATTCTACAATCAGTTCAAGGGCGGTATCACCTTTCTCTAGGAAACCTAGCCCACCTCGTTCTGCAACACCTATTCCTACAACATCAGGTCTTTCTTTTTCCAAAAGTATTGCAGATAGCTTGAAGAAAACAAATGAGCGTTTGAGTCAAGAAGTGCAGAAATTACGTGCCCAGGTAGATTACTCTCTTTGTTTTGCTTATTAAGCATCAGATGCAAAATAGACTTCTTACCATTATCATGGGTTTTATTGTGGACATGGTTTAGGTTGATAGCTTGAGACAACGGTGTGAACTACAAGAATTTGAGCTGCAGAAATCAGCTAAGAAAGCTCAAGAAGCTCTTGCACTGGCTGCAGAAGAATCTGCCAAATCCAAAGCTGCAAAAGAAGTTATAAAATCCCTTACTGCACAGGTAATTTTCCTATTTATAGTTTTATACTTGTACTCTTTTCCTCTGTTGTCTTGTAAGTATATATGTTCTTTCATTGATCTTGAATCAGATCACTTAAAAAACCAGTTTCTGGACCTTTTTTAAAGTGGAAATTTAAAAGAACTTTGTAGACCAACCAGTCTCGTCTTCTATTTTTCCCCTTGAGGTTTTTGACTTGAATGGTTAATTAGTTGGATCATGATTTATGCTTTTCAACCATAATATGACCATCTCCTTTTAATTGCTAAGAATGTGGTTTTATTGAGAAGGATCAACACTCACAACAATACAACATAGATTTGGATCTGGAATAAAACTCATCTCTAAAGACCCTGCTTTTAGATTAAGGCATTTGCATTCTGATTGGCGGATCTAAGCAACCATTGGAACAAGATGTTCTACAACTATGATGGGATCACAATAGCCATGGACCCTGTTCCCCCCAACTACGCCATCCTATCCCCAGCATAGAATCAGCTTTAGCTATAATTCTCTGGAAGACCCTGATGTGAATCGAGTTACTCCTATTTTGTTTTCCTTGGAAGACATGTAATAAATCTGACCAACAAACAAATGCCTCGGAGTTGCCTTGTTTTGGAGAAAAGTATTATATTTGAGTTTTTTTTTTGAAACATAAAGTCATGAATTTATTGATAGAAGAAAATCATAGTACAACAGTCTCCTGGTAGAAAAAACAATCCACCCAGGAGGGAAAACAGCTTTCAACTCCCACAAAGACTGAGAGCTAAGGTATTGTAATTGATTGTATGCAAAAATGGAGGATAACCAGGGGTGATCATTTATAGCTTGGCCAAGAAATTTCCAGCTTTGGGCCTAGGTTTTGTGTTCAGGACCGATCCACACACATTTAAATATATGTATTATTTTATGTTATATTTTATATTATATATAAATATTATAATATAACACCTATATCTGTTGGGTTTTTAGTGCCTCAATCAGTTATGCTGACTCAACAAAGGCTGAAGTTATGGCTGCTCTCACCGGAATCAGAATAATAAAAAGATTTGGCATTCAGAACTTATCTATTGTAGGATATTCTGCTTATACCATTAAATAGCTGAAGGACAAGGAGGGGGGCCCTTGGAGGTTGAGTCATTATGACATTATCTGGCTGAGGCAAGAGACTCCTTGGAAAATCTAAACGCAAACTTGGTGTGGATATCGAGGGAGTTGAATCATATTGCAGATGGATTAGCTAAAATTGGAGCAAGACTAGAGAATCTGTACAGCAATAGGCTTCCCCCCCTGTAATTTTTCTATTTAGCTGTTTGGGTTTTCTTTCTTCTGTGTAGTACGTCTGCTCATGTACTGCCTGCTTTTTTTTAATGAAATCTGGTTAACCTTTTCTCAAAAAAAAACACCTATAATGCATACTATATATAACATGCTATATTATTAATGTATAACATAAATTTTAAGCATATATCATATGTGATATAGTATAAAATATTGTATATATTTAATTTTATATTGGGTAAATTGCTGAAACCTCCCCTGAAGTTGGTATTTGCAATCACCTCCCCTAAACTTTCTGATATAGTTGCAAGTCCTTTGTTAGAATCTTCTAAAAAGAGGCATGAAAATGCCCAAAATACCCATGCAGTTATTTTTGACCAAAATGTTTAATTTCCAAATTTTCTCTTCATATGAATCGCTAGCCCAAACCCTTCCAGTCCTTTTTCTGAAATTGATATATTTTCCAAATTTGCCCTTCATATCAATTACTCAAAAGGTAGAGCTGCAACTTTAAATTCTCTATTTTTTTGTTGTTTATAAAGTTTGTATTGTTTTTTCTGCAGAAACCAGCCTCAAATCCTCAATAGTAATTGCATGGGTATTTTGGACATTTTTGTGCCTCTTGTTAGAGGATTCTAATAGAGGGGGTCTACTTGCAATTCTGTTAGAAAGTTCAGGGGAGGTGATTGCAATTACCAAACTTCAGGGGAGGTTTCAGCAATTTACCATTCTATATTTATAGGCTCGGAATCCGGCCTGGGCCTGGTCTTATATTTTGGGTCTAGGGTCCAGGCTGTGCCATGCCCAGGCTATAGCCCTTACTATGGGTGCTAAGCCCAGCCTGGGCCTGGTCTGGCCGAGCCCTTGATCATCCCTAAGGATAACCCTCGGTGTACCAACAATTGGATAACCAATGCGACAGGGATCAAATTAAGTATTGTGAGGAACATCCTTGAACAGTTTGTGAATAGCTTTGGAAGTATCGATTATGAGTCAGAAAGGAAAGCTAACCTATCCTGTCAAGATAGTGGGTCTCAGTGATAAAGCTAGTTGGTTATTTCAATAATCCTTAAAGTGGATCGAATAAAACAGGCGTTGGAGAAACCCCTAGTGGTACAGAACTTTCCCCTTAGAAGAAAGTAGAGAAGGAAGTTCAGGGAAGGCTGATGAAGAAGAGCTTACGATGGATGAGGTCCATGAGGTAGAGAAGAATTGTGATTTATAGAAAGTGATAAACAAGGAAATGGAAGTCCGCAAAATTCTGGGGCTGTTTTTCTTAGGAGGGGAGGAGTTCGCCAAGGAAGCATTCAGATCGGTAGATGACAAAAATGGGGAAAAAGAGAGTAAGTGCAATTCCAGTGCTTGATGGCAATTCCAACAATTCTGAAAAGGAAGTGATTGTAGGAGACGGTGGGGCGACTAGCGATGGCGGGGATGCTTTCAAGAAGCAGGAGGATTTATCTGAGGGGATGTTGGTTTCAAATAGGGGTCAAAAACCAGAGAGGAGTCTGGAAGAAGCCATGAAAACACTTAATACAGTTAGGAGATTAAGAGCTCAAAAGAATATAAAAAGTCAACAGAAAGTTCCAGTTTCAAAAGTCTTTGTACGGATAAAAGGAGGCTTATATGGCATGGGCCTAAGCTCGTCAAAAAATACAAAAGATCAGAGAAAAGGCGACTAGAAGATTGCTCTCAAAAATCTGATAAGAAGAGTTTTTTGAGTGGGAGTCTTGGTTGGGTTTGGGCAGTAGGTGTGGGTTTCTGGCAGGTGTTGCAGTATGGTTGGTAGGGTCAATATTGGTTGGTAGGGTCTGGGTTTTGCCTTAGTGTTGCAGTATGGTTTCTTTCTTTTAGCTGGGTCACAATGATTATCCTTGTTTGGGGTTTTCTTTACTTGGGCCTCTGTTTTGCTTCCCCTCGGGTCATTGCTTGTCACCTTCCTTTGTAATTGTGTTTTTCATTTAATAAAATTTTTATTTTATCTTCAAAGAAAACCCCTAGTGGTTATTTCTCTCAAGAAAGAAAAATGGGAATAATAACAAAGAAAAAAAAAACTTTTTACCTTAAATCTGATTCTAGAATTGCCAAGACTCTTAATAGAAAGGGAAGAGGAAAATTGATATCCCCTGATCTACTACATCTAAATAAAATAAGGAATGCTAGAAGACTAAAATTCTGAAAGACCCATGGTGTGAGGATAGGGTCTTAAAAGATATGTTCCCTGACTTGTTTAGAGTGGCCAACAATAAGGAGATTTCAGTGGACTCTTATCATGTTAAAGAGAGATTCTCTCACTTGGGCCCCTCCCTATTGTAGAAGAAATTTTAATGATTGGAATGTGTATATGTAAAGAATGTATACTTTTTGATCTTTAATACAATTATACTTTATCTTTTTTTTAAAGGATACTTGTAGAAATTAACCTAAAATAAATTCTATATATAAATGTCCTAGCAATTACTAATTTTTTGATTTACTATAAATAGTAAATCAGTTTTTGGTGGAAATAATAAAATAAAGATGTACTAGAATAGTAAGATGTGAGTTGGTTTCTCAAAATCATTAGTTTCTAAAAGCATTAATAAAAAGAATTTACTAAAAATTCAATATTTCACAAAAAAATTAATGATGCCTAGGGGTGGATTCGAGTCGAGCCAAGCCGAATAGTACAAGGCTCGAGCTCGGTTCGAGTTAGAACCTTGAGCTTGAGCTCGGCTCGAGTCAAAATCTCGTAAGCTTGAGCTCAGCTTGGCTCGAGCTCGATTTTGAGAAAACATTTTATAAAAATAAAAAATTATATATAAAAATATTTTTTATTTGATATTTAAAAAATTAAGAATTATAATAATTTTATTATATATATATATACAAACTCGCGAGCCTTCAAGACAACTCACGAGCCTCACGAGCCGAGCTCTATTAGGCTTGAGCTCGGCTGAAATTGAGTCGAGCTGAGCTCGAGTAGCTCGTGAAAAGCTCGTCTCGTTGCCACCCCTAATGATGCCTAAGATTTGTCTAATAAAGTAATTTTGCAAAAAAATTCAATACTTCACAAAATATTGAATTTTACAAAAAATTTCAATATTTGATTCGTAATTTCTACTTAATTAATCCAATTTTATTTTGTGATGGCACTTATAAAACTGAGTAGCTCGTGCCGCCCGTGGTCCGTAGGTCGGCACGGCTTGACACAACCCATATATATTATTTTTATATTTATATAATATTATATAAATTATAATTATATAATAATATATAGTATATAATATATTAATAAAATAAATAATTTTTTAAATTTTATTATACTAATTTATTTAAATATTGTATATATAAGCAATTGTATACACAAAATTCATATAAAATTAAAATTTCAAGTTTTTTGTCAATTTTTTTTTTTTTAAAAGCTTTGGCCCGATGCACGACCCAACCTGGCCCACGACACGACACGGACCTGGGCCATGGGCCGTGCTGGACTGACCCCCAAATTTTTCACCGGGGAGGGTGGCACAGCCCACGGACCAGCACGGCACGGCTTGCACAAACCGCCCGCGGGCTGTGCCGTGCCGTGCCAGCCCGACCCACTTTACACCTCTAACTATTCAGCACTCTGATGTCTGAGCTAGACCTGAATAGTTTGGGGAAGTGCCAATAACAAAGAGGGTATAGGACTGGTGGATTGAGGGAATGAATAATGTGTGGCCAATCCATGGGTTATTGGATGG